AAAAAAAAAAAAAACAAAACACAAAACTTACGCGTAAGCATTTTGACAATGAGAAGAGAAAAAAAAGAAGAGACAAAAAGTTATTTTAAATTAATTTCTTCGTGGAAATCGAACAGAGTAGTGAATATGTTTCGTAGTAGGTACGTACGACAAAAGGTTTATACCGGTAAAATTGTTGACGTTAACAAGTTTAAAAGGAATCATCATCAACTGTCAACAATCATCCACCATCACCCGTAGATCAAATACATTGACTATATATATATAAAAAAAAAAATATATATATATATAAAAAAAAAAAATAATAATAAAAAAAAAAAAGTTAAGTAGAACCAATAAATCGGGAATAAAATAGAAACGAAATAAAAATATGCTACCGAGTAAAAAATTTCTAATATCGTAAACATTTCAAAAAAATTTCACACTCTCAAACAATTTATTAATTACACATTTTGCTTTGTACATATATTATCATACATGTATATATATATACACATAAATATATTGCATACAGGCTTAGCAAATACACACACACGAAGTGCGGCGGAAATTTAAAATATAAAATTCCTTCACACGAGTTTCCCAGCCGGACACGGATCACCACATACATAGTATTTATATAATACACAATTTCGAAGTGGTGACCGACGACCGCTGGTCCACACATTCATTGATTGATGGCCTGAGACCAGGAATGGATATCGGTAGCATTCAACTGGAAGTCGTTGAACGCGACGGCGGCGGCGGAGGGAACGTTGTGGTGGTGGTGGTGGTGGTGATGGTGGTGATGGTCGTCGTCATCGTCGTTGTTGGCCTCGACACCGCCATCAACGCCGCCGCAGTAAGCGGAGTCCATGTAAAAATTGTTGTTGGCCAACAACAGTTTGGCGGGATCGAGAACCATATAATCGACCACGTGCGAAGCGGAGACGTCGGCCGGCGGCATCGACCCGCCGCCGCCGTCCGCGCCGATAAAGTCCACGACGGAAGAAGACCCGTCACTGTGCATGCCGCCGCCTACGGCGTTGCCTTTGAGGCACGCAGCGTCGGCCGACGAGGACGGCAGCTGTGCGTAGTAGTCCACGTCCTGTGCCATCGGGTACATCAAATCCAACGCATCGGGTCCGTCCTCGGTCTTGATGACTGCGGTGTAATGCAACTGTTGTTGTTGCTGATGTTGCTGCTGCCCGGAGTGATAGCCGACGCCGTCACCACAACTCTGTTGCATTACTTGATAGCACTGCTGCTGCTGCTGCTGCTGCTGCTGATGGTGGTGGTGATCGTCGTGGTGGTGGTGCTGCTGCACCGCCGCGGCGATCGCCGGGTGATGGTAATCGGCCGACTGGTAGTGCTGCCAACCGACGTCGCCGTTGTCGCCGCACTGCCCGGGGCTCTTGTGGATGGTGCCGCTGCCCAAGTCCAATACCGTCGTCGGCGAACACTTGTGGTAACCGGAAGAAGCGACGGCGACCGTATCCTGTCCGGATGTAGTCCGCTGGTCCAACTGCTGCAGCTGGTACATGTCGTCGTCGTTGGAGGTGGACGTCGGCAGCATTGGTTGACAGTAAACCGCCGACGCGGGTTGCGGGCCGGTCACGAACCCAAAGTCCACGGCGGACATGTTCTGACCAAGCGCCGATGACGAGGACGACGACGGCGGCTGTTCGGACTGGAGCTGTTCTAGGACGTGATAGTTCTGCAGCCCCGACGAAGTCGCCCATTCCTGATGGTGGTGGTGTAGATCGTCATCACTGCTACTGCTGCTGCTGCTATTGTTGTTGTTGTTGATGAGGATGTTGTTGTTGTTGTTGTTGGTATGGTGATGACGATGATGATGATGGTGGTGGTGGTGGTGCTGTTGAGACGGATAAGCGGCGGCTTGCTGATGCTGGAGGATGGCTGTCGCGGGTTCTGGTACAGGTGCCAGGCGACTGTTATTGCAAACGCAATAATAAGGAAGACACGAGCAACCGGAAGAGTCTATAACGTAAAGAAATAAACAAATTATCAGACACTGTATGTTTGATCAATCAATCGATTGTATTCTAGTTTATTTTTTTTTTTAATTAAAAATAAATAAGAATGAGATTGATAATAATCTGTAAAAATACTGTAGGCATTTTTTACTTTTAGCCTCCTATTGTACCAAAACTATCCAATTTGCTCTATGAACAAAGTCCTTGCTACAAAACGGGATGATAGATATAAAAATAAAAACATGGATTATTGTAAATTCAATACATTTATTACTCTTTGCAGAATCTAAAACAGGTAAGTACGATATTATACTGAATTTTTTGTTTCATGTATTTCTACAGGTTTCTATAAATGGGACCCAGTGTTGCAAGTTCAAAATATTAATTAACATATTTTAGTATTTGTATTTGCAAGTATGTTTGAATAATTAACGCAAAAAATACGTTCTTTAAGCATATAATATACTGCATCGCTAAAATATATTGTATGATACAACGAACCATTAAATTATTTTATTTAAATTATTTAGAATAAACATTAAACATTTAAATATTTTAATTGATTATTGATTTACGATATTAACTAAATCAAGTAGGTAATATTATTTTAAATTTACACCTAAAAATATTATTATACTGTCTGCGTCGTTTCAAAAGATACTTTACGAATAAAAATGACTTGGTATTATTGTTTTATATATAGTTTAAAATGAGTTGTATTCAAAATAATCACGTTTGTTATCATCTCTATATAAAAAAAATTATCAACTCATCGACTTACTTATACTTCGGTTCTCTGAAATTAACTCTTGAGATAGTTGCGTACTTAAATACTGTTTGCGATTTCCATTATTAATAGCAGCTTTCTGTTTTTGATTTTTTAAACTTAATACCTGAAAAAAAATGTTAATTAATTTCATTGAAAAAACTATTGTTTAAATTATCATATTTTACAAAATTATATCTTATATTATATATTGTCGGTCGAGTACACAAACACCTTATTTATATTATTATGTTGTACTTAAGGTAATATTATTATAACAGGGTACTCTTGTATAAAGTTTGTTACTAAGTTATTAAACCACTAATTTTTATATACCGAACTGGAAAAATATCTTTTTTAAGTAATTGAAACATGTTTATGGTTTGAACACCATATGTTATGTAAATACAACTTTGATTTAAATTAAATACGGTTTATATCAAGTTGATAAACATTTAATTAAGTTGAAGTTTTCTATTTCAACAATCCACATACAATTAATATATTGTTTGCTAATAATAAAAATGGTATTCAATTACGTTCGTGTAGTTTCTTAATTGTTCACAGTTCTCATTGAATATTTTTATTTATTTACACTTAGAGGCGTACATTAAAAAGAACAATTAAACGGCACAGAATAATTACGGTTATTAGATAAATAATAATATCATTTTTAAAATATATTATTTAATTATAATATAAGTTACACCATGTTATTCTTTAATATAGTAACCAACGAATAAAAGTAGTATACAGCAGTATTAGTTTAAAATATTATTTCCAAAACTTTTTTGATTTTGAGTTTAACTGTTCAGGATTTTTGACCACAGCTTGGTATCTTGTCTTGAAAGATGTTGGTAACACATCTCCTCCTCCAGCTACATCCACCAACTCCGTCACCTTAGGGGGGCACTTCTTGGGTGGATGATATATAGGCCGTTTCAATGTTTTTTTCTTTATTAGTTTTTGTTCAATTACACTCTTCTCGTATGACTTATGTTCCTCGTGCCAAATTTTTCCGTACGTCATTGTCATAAGAGAATAAATGTCAGGTTTAAGTTCAGTTTTCATGTACGAAGGAACAAACTGTTTAACATCTACAAACTTCGAAGAAACAATTTGATCTTTTAAAACAGCCTTCTTTGAGGGTATAAATGGTTTTTTATTTTTATTTGACGAATAACTCGAATTCAAAGACTTCAAAGACGTGTAACTTGGTGCGGAAGACATAATATTATCAGATTGTTACGTTCTATTTGAAATAAATATTATTTTCATAGTTCAAATTACACAATACATAAGTGACCAACAAAAAAAATATTAAACGTAAAAAGTTAAAAACTGTCAGAGTAATTAATTAATTACGTTACCATTACTTTTTAGCCAATAAACAATTAATGGCCAGATGTACTTAAATCATTATCTGTAAATTAAAATTAAAATGAGAAAAAATAATTTCTTGACTAAAATGTACGGTAATTTTTTAATACGACGTACGTCATCATCAACAACATCCGACATAATATTATGTTGCACGCCGCACACAACATTTATAGATATCGTATTTTACTATATTAAAATACTATAAATGTAAAACTAGTGATTAAAAGTCAAACTTGTGAATTCCGTCGAACGTTTTTTGCCTCAGGTTTGTTTGTATAAGAATATACAATCAACAGAGAAATCGAGTTTTAGTATTTATGATTTGACCTACAATATGTTGTCAAAATCCATTCACGTTGTCCGTACCATTCATATTCATATAATATATTTTATGATTCATGGACACCAGACTAGGCGTTCTTTTTTTTTTTTTGTATGTGTGCCAGTGTTTATTATCTATGAAAACCTACAATTAAGGTTTTTTTTTTTTAAAGACAATACCAAACGGATTTAATTATTATAATTCGTATACGCTGTACGGGCAGGGCTGACCAAAGTATAATATAACACAGTATGCAATAATTTATGTTGTTTATTATTATTATTATTTTTTTTTTTTTTTTTTTTGTATACACATATTATCACTCGTTGCTCTAAATTATCGAGTGCAAGTATAAAAGTGTATATTATATCCATTTCGTTTTACGGTCTAACGCGTTAGTGAACTTACCACGCGGCTTTTAAGGACTTTAAAGATAAGTCGATTAAGTACGTTCAGATTTTTATAATAACAATAATCGTCGCGTTCTTGGCACCACAATTTATAGGCACCGCCGTTATAATAACGTTTTGTGAACATAATAATATTATCCAGAGCGCGTTCGAGTTGAATATCAATTTAAAGAAACGACATTTAAAAACAAAACGTACGAATAAAATCATAATTCATTATTTTCAGTCACATAGCGGATGAGGACTACCAAAAAACCATCGCGACAGGTAAACACAACGGCGAACGTACATTACCGCCGACCACAGGTCAGCCGGAGGCGTCTCAACGATATCACATCGTGGAGAACAATATTATTGACATTTACACACACACACACATCAATCTAAATCACGCGATATTTTAATAGTCAGTCAGTCAGCGGTCGACGATTCGTGATCGCCGATCACTGTTTACAATAATATAATAATTATAATATCAATAAAACAAGAGATGATAACGGGATTTGTTGCGTTTTAATTTAAAATCGAACGGCCAATATTTATTTATTTATACGATGGGAGGGCGGCGCGCGCGCGGCCGTTTGATTCGCCCGAGGTGCCGTTTACCGATCTGCCGCCGGTCCCGTCAAATCGGGTCGCGGCTGTGGTCCGGGCGCACGGCCAGCCGCGTTCGACACCCACCACCACCCACACAGGTGTCCGTGGGTCGCGTACAACGACGATAAATAATTAACAACAACCGCGGCGGTGATGATATGTCGCGGCGCGCGGTGTGACGACGATGATAATATTGTTGTATTATTATTTTTAAACGGCGGCGGCGGAGTTTTCGCGATAATCGCGTTACTGCACACACGCGTGTGACGCGAGGCGACGGAGGGTGAAATTAGCGCTTCTCGTTTGCATCAAAGACGGCGGCGGCGGCGCGCGCGACGACCGTTGTAAGCCCGTCCGTAAACAGTGTTCGCTGTGCGTAGTATATAATATGTGTGCACGGCACACGACATATTATCATCATCGTCCTCCTCGCGACTCTAAACGTACGTTTCACACGACCCTTTTTTAAAACCGTTTACAATCGTGCGCGAAACTCGGCGTCGCTCGTGTTAATAATATTATAATATGGTAACCGTGAAAGGGTAGGTGGTAAAGATATTATTTACGGGCGGTGGCCTCGGGGAAAAAACGATTATTCCGGTTCGACATACACACGATAACAACGACGACGACGACGACGACAACAGCATTATTTCGTGTTATAGTGTTAATAAATGTGCAAAGTGGAAGAAATCTGGTCCGTTTTCAAAACACTATTTAAAAGACGACTTGGCACTCCACAACAATTTCTGAAAAACAATCATTGCGATTGACCGAGTATTGAGCGGTCAGCAAGCGGGTATACTTAATATGACCATAATTTTTTCACTCAAAGTGGGACGCCTTTGAATTTTAATAGGAAAACCATAATAATTGGTGACTTTAGTTGGGTGCTCATTTTTTATGACATTTTTATCTAACATCATGTTATTATTAACGTGCTCTATTGGGGGAATAAAATGCCGCCGATCGTCTTTTTTTAAAGCGTGATATTTTTGGATTCTATGAGGACAACGGGACACAAACAAAGCTCTAATGCGGGACGGTCCCGCCCAAAGCTGGAGTATACATACGTTAGGTATACTGACGATATGATTTCATTGTTAATTCCATATACCAGGCAGTAAACTCAAGGCATACTTTAAACTAGTTACCACTTTATGCCATTCAGAACATGGTTCATTTATAAAAAAACAAACATAAGTAAATCGCATCAAAAAATTACAATAAACTTCATGATTTTTTTTTCAGAAATCGCATTATCGCGGTGTAGCAACAGTGTTAAATTACCTTAAAGACACTAGACAAGACGTGATTTACCCATATCCTACAGCGATATTGATATTACGATATAATAAATTATAATATAAATGCTCGATATTTACATAATAATATGTCGATTGTACTGGCTTAAAATGCAATAAACAAAATAATATAACTTAACTATTAGCTTTTTTTATTAAGTTATCGTAAGACATTGTCATTCACAATGGAGAAAAAACTCAATTATACATATAAAATATGTTAAAAAACAAAAAAACATTATAAAATCAATAGGTATACAATTGTAATGTTTATCACAAGTGAATCTATAAAATGTTTTGTTTAAATAATAATTCGTCATACATATTTTTCTCAATCCATAAAACCAAAAGGTTTTATTGACTTAATTTGTGTGTTGTTCTCTTAATATTAATTATATACGAATATTAGCCTGTGTTTAAAACACAAAAAAAACATACTGAGAAATTTAAGAATGCGATTGATAAAACTTGTATTATTATTTTTGATAATATCAATGATCTATATGTTTAATTAGTCTTTTTCGATATAACACAAAGATATATAAAGATTACGATATAAATCGGATGTGATACGTCATCTCCGCTGGAATAAGTGGTTACAGTGGTCAACGTTATTTTGTTTACGTGTTTAATAATATATGAGCTAACGGAATGGATACACGCCCAATAAATTATGGGTATTATAAACCACCAAACTTTTTCCGGTATGTGTATACTCGGTATCTTTAATTTTAATAAGAAAAACCAATAAATAATAATTATATTAAACAATCATAGTTAATATACCAATAATAATATATTATTTTAATTCTTTAATTTCAAAATTTCGTATCACAAAATACAAGTAAAATTAATAAAATAAAAATATCGTAGGAAGGATGAACGATGCATACGCCTCATTATATAAGTGTAAAAATAAAGTATTAAATTAATATATTACAAATATTTTGAATTTCAACACTAAATAGTTATATACTTAAAAATATATATTATGTATTTTGATAATTACTAAATACCCAAAAATCAAAATACATATATACCTCTTCACGTTCCATCACCACGTACGTATATTAATATTTATATTAGTAGTATTCTCTAATCTAACTGAATCATATTTCAAATATATTAAGCTAATATAAAAATTTGACAATGAATTTTTCTTGCCTGAATCTCATTTATTATTTTTATCTTCTGGACTCCAATAAAAATTATATGTCGACCTCTCCAGACTTCTAGAAACTAAAATAACGTGAGGCTTGTAGAAACTAACCCCTACTCACAGATTTTCTCAAATAATATATTTTATTTTAACACACCTATTGTATTTTTCCAGACTTGCACGGTTTTTTCTAAACTTCAGAGAGTTATACAATTTAAACTTAAGAATCAGGTTTCAAAGATTAAAACCTTGAGTGGTTTGTCCATTTTTGTTATTAATGTAGTTAATGTAGGCACAATAGCAAACACGCGACAACAACAGTGACGTTTCGCCAACGACATCATAACGTTATTCTACTGTGACATTATAGTACTGCATCACTAACATTACTTCATTACCATAATATTGTATCAACGGAATAAACAACGTTTCAATAAATGTTTTGTAGTATATTTTTTACATACCTATATATTATATTTTGTACATATTATATACTCCATTTGGTTTCACTGGACGGGATTTTAAAAGAGGAAAAAACACAACTTTGTTCTATAACATTACGAGCGGTATACACTCTTAATAGCATTCAATAAATATTAATATCCGCTACGCAATCAGATTCATCCGAGACGAAGATATCGGACTAATCGTAAACGATGCGTTTGAAAAACCGATTTGTCTATAAGAGGGTTAACGCACAAGTACATAGAATAATTTATTATTTAAATGCAACTCAAAAGGTGTACTTGGAATAATGCACAAACAATTCAACAGAATGTGACAACGTCATTTTTTATGTAGATTTTCGAAAACATAAGCTAAAACGAATATGTCAATGACAAACAACAAGATTACCGCGCGAAGTCGTTCATTTTCGATTTCAATTTTTTTCAACAATCATTGTGTAATATGCATAGCCGGACCGACAACATAAGTTGGATGTAATTCGAACGATTCACACCCACGCTGTACTTAAATATCAAAATGTTCATCTAAGCATATCTGATATAAAACAACTATAAATAGGGTAAAACATTCGGCGACGAACCGCAAACAGCATTCATTCGTCATCCCCTCGCTGTTAAGACCTTATTATGTGAGTTGCCAAAATTTTTCACAGCTACATCGCCACCACTTACACACAGTTATTCCGTATTCAAATTTATTGAAACATTTGAAGTGTAAGATACATAACCTATACAATTCTCCGGTCAAATTAATTACGAGTGTAAATCATTTAAACGCCAAAATTACCCATTCCTCCGTCCTTTTCAACAGACACAAACGTGACGACATACATCGTTAGGCGAGCGTGCAGTCACCTGGTAGCGACGACGGGTCCACTACACACCCCTCCCCCACACACGGCGCTTTATAAATCTACAGAGCTCATGCACACTAAAAAAACGCAGCACATGCGGTCGCGTATTATCATTATTTATTACGACGTATGACCGTATAAAACAACAATATAATTTGCCATCGACGCGGCGATCGGATGGATCTTTGGTCGTCGACTCGTCGGTGTAATCACCACACGGTTCTATTTTATTGACATGATTTAAAACGATTGCGCACAGTACAAATATACGCGTACTCGACAAACAACGACTGGACGGCCGACAACATGATTAGACCACCTCGGGCGGACTGTCGACAATTATCATCCAAACTTATAACTTATAAATATCTAATAATATAACGTTATTAAATTATGTACATTTTATTTGCGTTTCGATATTATTATTATTATTCTCTAAATCGTATAAATAACACACGCACACAATAACATTATTACCTTTACGCATAAAACACGACAACCCCGCCCCGCCACACACCGCGCGTGCGGCAAACGACTTGGGTTTTCGCCGAAATGATTTATACGGCACCTACAAATTGAATTAACATACCTACTACGCGTGCGTTCACTCTATAATTACACATGACGGCAATAATAATAATAATAATAATAATAATATTACGTTATAACACTGCAGTAGTATCGTGTTTAAAGTTTTTGAGTCTCCGCGAAATGCTGTCGAATGATAAAATAAATAAAAATATGATGATCGGGTACGCGTCGTCCAAAACTCTTCCATAGGATTTTGCCCAAATAATCCATCAAATTGGATGTGTGTAATTACATACATGAACCGTATGCACAACGTGCATTTTATCAACGACGAATTGTTAAATGCATTCGGTGGCAGCGGTGTTACAACACGATAAAATACCAGTGATAATAAATAGACCAGAGAGAGAGAATCGTCGTTTTCAAACAAACAGAAACACGAACCTAGAAGAGATGACGTGATGTCTGCAAAAAATTATACATTGCCAATTAATAATATTATGTCGTGTATACAGAACGATTGATTTAACATTATCAAAGTCCACATCTTAGGAAATATTACGTGAATTGAGTTTATAATGTTTATATATTAATATAATTACAACAAACTATTTAAAATAATATAACGACGAAAATGCTGACAATATTGACATATTCCAGTAAATTATTTAATAATAGAGTAAATATGTTATTATTAACTAATAAGAACGTGTATTTCCAATTATTAGTGCAAGAAAGTTAATATTATCGGAAACGATGAAAACGGATTTCCAGAATAATTTCTATAATTTTAAGAATCAAAATTAAATTTAATATAATATGTAAAAATAAAAACTATTTTATTTTTGTAACACCGATGTCCGACAGGCATTAACGAAAAAGAGATGAAGAATCGGTTGACCTGTGCGTAAGCAACACCGATGTACAACGAACTTCCCAAACCAAGTATTATTTTTTGTGAACACTGGTTTCGCTTTCGTCATTGTGTATATCATTGATTTATAACGCGTCTCAACACTACACATACACATACACAAAATCATAGCCTGAAATGATAATGATCAAACTATAGAATAGACAGATTATGCTGTCCGTGCCCACTGTATATCATATAATTATTATTTTATATTATTGATGACCGCAGTACATGTTTGCAGACTTACTATAGTATAATAGTATTAAATATACACAGTATAATATCTCATATATTTGGTTTTTATAACTACCATTTTTTTTTTTTTTTTTTTTTTTACTGACCATAGCTATTTCTAGATCTCTGACACTACATATTATTATGTTTTTTCATTAATAAATAATATTATCAATATTCTAATTAAAGACAAGATTTCGTTTAAACCTATTCTCGAAAACAAATTAAAAAATCGTTATCAACGCCACCATTAAATAACCATGATAAGGTACTTATTATACAAAGAAACTGTCACGAGTTTTGATGGACTTTAATGTTTTTATTGCTAAACATACTTAGGTATATTCTATTTATGAATTAAATTTTAAGTAAATAAAAATATTAAGTAATAGTGATATTTTTTTTTTATGTACATAAATCGTATAAATAAACCATTTTCATAATAATAATTAAAAATTTATTGAATTTGAAAAGTTGTAAATATTTATTATTTATTAATTAACTTTTGTATTAATTACTAGGTATCTATATTGTATTTGTTAAATAAAAACATGAATTGTATCGTTATGTATACATAATACATGTGTACGCACACAACATAACAAAACAATGCATATTATTTTTTGAATTATGTACCGAAGTACATATCATAGATATAATGTTATGCTGAAAATCTATAGATAGTTGAATGCATATCTAAAATTCTTAATAGTAATTCATAAATAATTCTTACTTTATTATTGAAAGGAACATCACGAGATAGGATCATGCCGAAGTTTCGAATCTTGCGGCTGGTACCAAAGCTTCTTCGTGCTTCTGAAGTAGACTTGGCTTCAGGTCTTAAGTGATCATGAACACCTTTGGCTTGAAAAAATATTGCATACTCTGTATGCCTCCAGAAATGTGTAACAGGATAACCACAGTGTCCTCTACAGGGCATTATTTCTAAGTGACCATGACACTGTCTATTTGGGCAAGGTTTACCTAGAAATAATTATAAGTAGTAAATAATCATACACACATCGAAAATTTTTCAGATATAGTGGGGTAATATCCAAGTCCCTAAAATTAAACTCAGGGATTTATTACCAAATGACAATTTGTATTTATACAAATAATAATATATAATATTATGTATGGACCCTTCCCTAAAAAATTCTTTGGTTATGCTATTAATATAAAAGTACTAAATAGTAACATAAATGATATACAATTATAGAAATAATAGATTTCGAATAGGAATTTATATATATATTCAAAATAGATACTCAACTAAAAAATAAAAAGCGTGTCATAATCGTAGACTAAAGTATTGTTATAGTTTTTATTGTCGGACAACCCGTTAACAAGACGAGGTGACATTATTATAATATTGATATTGATTTATAATTAATTTGGGAATTTAACCTTCATTGCTAAAATGTACTTCATTATCTCAGCAACAATATCCGCATCATCAAACAATGGTAAAGATTTATTTAAATAATAGTGCGTACATAATTAGTGGTGTATTTGTCTTCTAGTTTAATAAATAAATATAATGTTCATTTAATTTATTAGAATAACTTCAAAATATTCTATGCCATAATATTATGCCTTATACAATTTGTCGTCAAATAAAATATTATTTAATTAAAAATTTGGTATCCATACAATTTAAAAAAAATTTTAAAAAGCCCATATTTCTATGTTGAGAAAATGTTTTCACTGTTTATTTGTACAAGTAGTTTTTACTAAATACTCAACATAGGTAAAAAATACGTGGAGATGTATTCAAACAGAGCCAATACATTATTATATTTGACAATGATGGACTAGCATCATTTTCAAAATAATAAAATATATCAATAGTTTAAAATTCAATCATATTATATTCTAATATATTTTTAAAAATGTTAAGCAGGTATATTATATGTACCTATGTATTCAAATTCACATAGTTGATTCTGTGAATATTATAATCCTCTGATTTCCAATTATCTAACTGAAAATCCATACCTCGTTGACTAAAATAGAAATGGCGCAGAAACCTTAAACTTAAACTTAGCTATATTTTTTTTTCTTTTTTAATATATTATGCTTATTATACGGAATTTTTTGTATAGATTGTATTTTCTCTTTTCTAAATAATAATAATAAGTACCCATATATTATTGTACATTCAGAACAGTTATTTGTGATGATCACTGTCCGTCCCTAACTCCATAGGTCTGTAGACATTTCTTTGTTAAATTTTTTAAATATTTATTCCCCCCCCCTGTAGATATTTAAATAGAAGGTTATAATCAATTAATAACTAATTATAAATAAAGTATAGAAAATAGAAATTAATATAAAGACCCGAATTTTAAGTACACGTATAAAATAAATAATGTATTAAACTCTATCAAACTTTATAATAATACTATAAGTTCCAATTAATTAATCATTTTAATGATAACCTTACTATTATTAGTTATTACTCATTTTAATGTTGTTCTAGCTGTTAATTAATAATATACGTCACATAGTTCAATTTAAATATTTTGCTAACTTAAAAACAATTAAATGATAATAATTATTATAAAATTAAAAAATTATAATTGAAGAATTTTCTAAGCACATATTATTTTTTTTAATTTTTATTTATTTTAGATTATTAATATAATAAGATTACCTTGCTGCTTTTTTCGAGCCTTGTCACATATAGCTGGTCTTAGGTGAACAGTGTCTCCCGAAGGAAGTATACATCTTCTTGAGCATAACAGAACACCCAAACACGATTTCTTTAATATGTGCACATTGTGATTGTTGGTGTTTCTCATTGCCCATCCAGAAGCGTGTCTCTTAGCTTCTTCACAATTAGGGGGGTATACCAAGCGACAATGACCGTCAGCCCATTCTTCCCACAAGTTGAAGTTACTCACCTACAAATAAAAATATTACAATGATAATTAAAAATACATAAGCATCACACAAAAGAAGCAATAAAAAAAAAAAAATAATAATAAAAATACAAATACTCAAATATACTTTTGTAAACAAAAAATAAAATATTAAAAACATTAAGATTAAGTCTTATAACTTATGAGTTTATGATGACTATGTGATTAGAAAGTGAATGTTAAAATATTAATTGAAAAAGTACCTCCCTCTCAAAAAAAAAAAAAATAATAAAAAATGTAAGCACTATATAGGTAATAAAATTACACATACCTAATGTATAGTTAAGTTATATAACATATTTTAAAATTATAATAAAATTTTCAAGTATAAAAAAAGATATGTATAAAGCTGAATATTTGTGTTAGCTCAAAAATAATGTTCGTTATCAAAATTGTAAGCACTAATATAACTAGTAATTATTATTAAAGTAGCAATTACTTGTTATTAATTAATTAGTAACTATTAGTAACAACCTATTTACCTATTCATTTTTTCAATTACAATCTAAACTTAAATATTTAAATCAAATTTTTAAAAAATACATCGATAACTTTTCGATCTTTTTCTTTGAATAGACAATTTTACTAAGCTATATTTATTTAATACAAATGCACTGTTCTTGTTAGTCAATAATATTAAAAACAGTGACGTAATGACTAATGAGTATAGATCATTAAAAACTATTTTGAGGCTTTTTTTCAATATTAGTAATTAATAAAACGTGTTTTAAATGTTTTAATAGAATACTAACATTTTTCAAATAAAATGTTCAACTCATTTATAATTTAATTAGCTAATATTATTATAAAATTAAAATTATTATGTACAATATACACACAGTACATAATATTACATGTATATTTTAAAGTATATAGTTTTCAAAGAATAGCTAAAGCTCTGGAAACCATGTTTTTTGAACAAGCACAGACTCCCTCCTCAAAGTCAAAGCTATCAATTGAAAATTAAAATATCTTTTTCCAATTTTAATCCCAATTGTTAACTATTAATTTCGAATATGTAATTATAACCTAATGATAGACAAACGAATATTGTTTTGAAATAATATATATTACATTAAGATTATTTAAGTAATTGTCAACGTATTAATTTTATATTTTATTCTGTTCAAAATGTTCAAATATTGTATATTTTTTTTTTAAATAATAAAATTCTCATTAAGATAAGTTTATACTAAACTTGAATAAAATATTTAATTAATAATCTCTTTATTGAAACATAATTGTTTGAATTATAATGTTACATTATATTTTCATAGAAATATAAGATTTTATCAGCTCTTAAAACTTAAAATATCATATTTAAAATAAATATGTATATACATATTATGTATAATAACAAGTATCAAATATTATATTAATTCTGATTGCATTGATCAACAATTTACTTAAAAGAAAACATATAAATAATGCAAAGTAATATTTTTTTTTTACTAATAACTATATAATAAAAAAATATATAGAAATTTACCCTTGGAATAATCGAATCGTTAATGTCCCAATCTGCAATTCGAGAAATAGATTCTGCAGGAGGTCTTCCACGTGAGTAACTATAGTCATTGCTCATGCTTTGATTTTCGTATTCTTGTTTACTAAAATATCACAAATAAAACTTTATAATTCATTAAATTATTAAATTTATAATAATCCAAGAAATATATGAATGTTGTACAAATATACAATAATACCAAATATATCAGACTGCTAATTAGTAATATCGTAGATTTTAGGTTTTGAAAATATTAATAGACTTCGGAGAATATTAGCCATTATAGGTATTAGCATTCATTATAATCAATAGTATTAGCTATCTATTGTTATAAACCAATGCGTTTTTGTACGGACACATATTGATTTAGATTCTAAAAACTATTATGACGATAAATGTTAAGTTGGAAGTTCGGGAATATCAGTTTAAATATATAACAATACCTAGGAACAAATTTTCAGAAGAAGTCTGAAAGAACCATGGAATGAAAACATGCAGTTTATTATAATTTATACCTAATAAATGATGTATTATATATATGTATATGTATAAATAATATAAATTAAACGGATCTAAAGTATTAATATTGGATTTTAAACTTCATAAATAGGTAATCAGCAGTAACGGTTGAATTGGTGTATTGGCTTTAAATTGCAATTGTCGATTGTCAAAAATTAACTTTTAAGCGAGTAAACGTAAGCTATTTATAACTAGCTGTACACGGAGTATTTTTAAACATAACATATTTAAAACTAGACAAGTGGGTAGTAATATAAACATAGGTAGATCGTACACATTGCGCATATAGATTACCTACACGAAAAACAGCGTGATGACACTTTCAAAATGATTAATATTAATTTATAAGCACACGTAAACACACGTTTTATGCCAACGTCTCTCAATAATTGTACTAGACGCACGACGATATATTTGTATATACAATTAATAGAGCTACGGTTTGATAAACGATAATATATAATAATAGTAATACCTTATGCAATTATTATTGCGATAACAAAAAGCTCGTTACATTATATTATTAACTTATTACTTATAGGCATTTTGCGTGTATACGTGTATATATATATATATATATATATAGTTATCCAGGTATAAAAATGTCGTCGACAAGACAAGACATAAAATAACTAATATGTTAGCACGTTTTTATAATTAAAATTATATTATTGTGTTATTAGTCTACAGACACCTACCTACTTAAAACAATATGAGACACACGTTAAAATCACGTCACCGACGAGACACAAAATCAAAAAAGATCGGCAATAAAAGTGCACAGCGTCGCGTACACGCCGAAACGCAGACAGAACAATAATGGTGTTTACTCACAAAATGACGACCATAATCGAAGTCCGGTCTCTGCTGCTGGTCGTCTTCCGTCGGCGGTCTACAAGTTGTTATCGCGGGCAAATTGGACTGTGGACGACGGTAGTGGTTCCGGCCGTCACTGGAGGTGCTCGAAAAATCACGACGATTATGACGCGTGTTATCGAGACATCTGGTCGTTACGCCGATAATAAAACGTTGACGGATATACCTACGCGTACACGCCGGACCTATAGTCGGCCGTTATCGCGTACACACCACTTACGATTGTCGTGCGCGTTCGGTCGCCGAAGAATACTATTTTTGGCAGTCGACTCCTGTCGGTCGTTCGGGAGAAAACGAACGAGAAAAATAAATAAGAGTAAAATAATAAGGCCGGTGGACGGGAGCGCGCGCGCGGCCGGTCTGACGGACGGACAAGCGGACGCGATGCGTGCGGAACGATCACTGATCGACGAGGAGACGGTGTCGAGATCCTGTTGCCGGTCCGGACGGAGTTACACCGAACCGACGGCGGCGGCGGCGGCCCTCTGGTTTTGCATTTTGGGCCGTACGCCCGCCGGCCAATGAGAACGCAGACCGAACCCACCGATTTTAAAACGGTAGTTACGCGCGCGGCGCCGCCGCTAATCCGTTACCGCCGCCGACGACACGTCGCACGGGTCGTACCTACGTATGTATATCATTATCGTGTCTCCACAATAGCAGCTGTGTAAAAATAATATAAACTCGCGTTATATATTATAATAATATAATATAATATTTTATATCGAATTGTAATGGTGGTATGGAATATCGAGTTTAAAATATCGACGGAGTATAAATGTAGATCATCCCCGTACGACCTAAGTAGGTAGGTACATGATGATATTACGATTATGTTAGACTTGCGCCGACAACTCGGAAAGGTAGGCGTGTAGGTACATACACCTTGATAATATTGTACCTTTATATTATGATAGGTATAGATGTCTCTCCCTACTATCCCACCATGGCGTTATTTATTATACCCACACTGCGTCACCCGAATGGGGGATGAATGTACAATGTACATGTGTACTTTTGTGACGTCCAAGTATAATAATATTAAGGACACTGGTGCACTCGTGAGTCGTATTCCTGAACATTGTGAACAATGGATTTATGTGTGCGCCTTACGCGGCTTCTTGGTGGGTATTTTATTTTTTTACACGGGTAGGTATCTACGTACCTACAACAAAGGTACGCGTACAACATCATTATTGATTATGATATATTATATCCATATACAGGTTAAGCGAGAATAAAAAAAACTTTCAGTGCAATAATAATATAGTGTATAATAGGCACCTAACAGGGCACGGATGATATCGTAATGATAATTCGATCGCGCATCCTCCCCCTTTCTAATCGTGTCATTTACTATAAAAAATAAATATATGTGTATACAAATGATGGACAAACATGAAGCGGTATTTATTTTTATTTTTATGCGCTACAGTAGAATAAATATTGTGATCACAATTTATCATGGGCACATATTTTACATTTAGACCCTTGCATATTTAGTATAAAAAACCTACTTATTAGATTTTTCCATATTATTATATGTATACCTAGATTGATTATGGAATAGCGGTAGACGATGATGTCCGATTGCGGTTCGAATACAAGTAGCACTATTCAGTCGCTTAGTCCTATAAATATACATAAGTATCTAGATTGCGTCCGAACATAGTTTGGCTCCCAAAATAACGTATCTAAGTATATAAATAAAATATTAATTTATTTTTTACATATAATTACACACATATCAACTTTTAGTTAAAAAAAAAAAATCATTAGTATAGTCAATTCATAGTAGTAAAAAAATAAAATATTTAAAAATATTTCAATGGAACAAATCAATAATATGTTTAATATCTTATAATCTGTGGTGTAGCCCAGAGTAAGTGTTTAATGAATATTTTAGATGTTGAAACACTCTCCATTGACCGTATTTATACAAAAAATAAATGTATGTACTAGGTTTATGAATCAGATTTTTATAAAATGTGTTGTCATATGGTTCTATTGTATACTTAACATTATGAAGATTGATGACTAAAATGTATTAAGTGTGTAAAGCCCCCCACATGTTAATATATTTAAATATATAATTAAAACACTCCATAAAAAATTAATAAGTGTTGGCTGTGCGCTTGGTCTTAATGATATACGAATATTACACGTCATAGTCAAATTAATAAAATCCATCATAAGTGCGAGTAATATATAATAAATATAATCGAATTAATAAAAGGCATACTATATATATATATATATATATATATAACATAATTATAATGTATAATATGTTGATTTTTATTACCTAACTCAAAATAAAATATTTTTATGTGTGCAATCTTGCAGTTTATTGGCTTTCTCAACTTTAATAGATTATATACAGAAAGCACCACTCTCTCTGAATATTGTTAACTTTGTTAATGCTTAGTATTTTGTTTATATAAAAATACGTAAGATCCAACCGGGGTATTCTTTTAGTTTTAATAATCACTGAACATAGTATTTACAATCTATTTTGTAGAGGCTGTAATTGGGATATAAAAATGAAAAAAGATTACTTTTGGTCGAAATTAGAGGACACCCATAGTGAATATCTATACTTCATCAATATCTGAACATACAGTACAGCTACAGACTATACAGTAGTACAGTATAAAGTGCAAAAGTAGTCAAATAACGAATAAACTTCTCTGTTCTGGCCTATGGTGAAAATATTCCCTTCCACATATATATACAATACAAAGTTTCAATAAGCATAAAGCATACTATTTACAATATTGTATTATCTTAAATCTCAGTCATCCCTAAGATATTGCTACGCTCTTTACTTACTATTAGTATTATAAATGTACCACATTTCGTATATTCTATAGTAGTTACCTACTTTTAGTTATTAAGAATTAGGTTAGGAAATGCTTATTGTATAAGTTTAACAAAATATTATTAAACTTCTACAATAATAACTAATTATAATCTAAATTATGATGAAAATGTTTTACTATATAACTTTATAGTTGTGAACGATGCACATGATGCGTAAATCCATATCATAAATCTTATTTAGTATATTTTTTTGAGATTAATTTTTCAACAAAATAAGTACTTCGTTTTATCTATTTTAAATTTACAATAAATCAAATATAGTTAATGTAAATAACAAATTTATTTTTTAATAGTAGCTCAAGTTTTTTTTTTACATTTTTGTTTTGCACACCTGACGAGTTGTTCCCTTAACAAAAGAGCCTAGTTTTGATAATCTTCATTGATTGTTTTAGATGAAGCATGTTATCCCTTTGATTATAAGTAACTTACACGTGAAATGGATATCTTATTGGTAGAAATAAAAACCTGATACCATAGTGTTTATAAAGTTGTCTACAGGGTGACAATGTGGCGCCAAAGTGAGAACCTCATCTTCCTGTGATCACCCGCATACCGATGTTTATCATTGCGTAATAAAATGGATTGTTGAGTTTTTTTTTGTCGAAACATTATTGTTTATAAGCCCTTTACCACGGCATTATCAATAGATTACACTGTTTTTTCTTATGTTATTTAAACACCTACATTATTTTTAGATTTTGGACGACAAGTCGACAACGATAAGGAAGTAGGTGGGTACCTGATAAGTATAGATTGATTTGTTTCTTTTATATTTTTATATTCTATTTTAAATTATATTAGTATTTAAATAAACTAAGAAGATACAAGTCTAGTGCTTAAATTGAAGGGACGGAATTTTCTTCATTTTTTAGAAATCATTAATTTCTCTTTTACATTAAATTTTAATCAATAATATATTTAAATCTTTAGATATAGTCAATTTTGTTTTTTTACATTTAAGTTTAAAAAAAATATAGTTACATTTACATACAAATGTATCTTTATAGTGTATACACAATTGAAATTCTGTATTAATGTATTATATTTAGTCGTTTAATGGGTTAATTCCTAACAGTTAAAAATTATTAGCGCATAATATAAAAATACTTTGCGGTGGTTTAGAGCATTAATTCACTGCAGCAGCAGTCTACCTCGAACGGCTCAAACAAACCGTAGGCGGTGGCCAGTCACGTCACCAGAAATCAAATTCGATACCCCGAATATTATAATACACTATGGTGTACCTCAGTACCTTATGTCTGTCGTACAGTTCAACAAATAATAAGCATTGTCAGACTGACTGTATTGTTGACAACATTCTCTTGGTATAGATGAAAAAAGTATATATCACATAATTTATTATGTTATACAGACACATTGTTATTTCTAGTGTTCCTGTTTGGTTAACTCCATAAGAAATTGAATAAGGATTCGTTATCGAGATGAAATAAACTATAAATCGTTATACAGACAGCAAAGAATAAAATACAGATTTTATTGTATTATGATTATGTTGATAACAGGTAGGAACTTTGGAAATAATTGAAGTAAATAGTAATACGGAAATTACTATACTGACTATCGACTGACGTCGCCGTTTCTGTCAGACATTGAGTGCTGAGCAGTGGGAACATTTGATAACTTTGATCGTCATTGCTGTGTTATAATTTTGCATATAATTTGCGGTATGACTATTCATCGATATTACATTAACAGGAAATATTTGTATCTAGAATTCTAGAATAATACATTATTTAATCGTATAATGTATAATAGTACCAAGTAACAACCAATATGCGATTATGACAACATATTAATTGTATCTAATAATCTATTACATATTAATATGCAATTATTTTCTGAATCATTAGTTCTACATAAAATAGAGATAAAACCCAAGATGTAAAATAATATCGAGAAATTGATAGGTAATAGTTTAGGTATGCCATATTCATACAATCGTATCATAATAGTATTAAATAAAAATAAAAATTATTGGTACTTAATTGCATTTGCAAGTTGTACATTTATACGTAAAACCAAACACCATATATATATATATATGATGTATAAATATGAATTGATGCATGATGCATAACAATATAATCTACTATTGATTATAAATTTTAATTAATTTATAATCAATAGTATATAACTGAAGTATAAATAGTTTTTAATATAAATTTATGACAGTAGGCATATATTCAAATTGAAAATTTGGAAGGATCGGCATGGATGGAATGTTTATTGTGATATATTTTATACTTTATCTATATATATTTTAGACATTTAGACTACAGTTATTTTAATTGACTATCATGCCATAATACCAAATAATGATTAATAATAGTATAATAACATTAGGTTTATAATATCACGTTATTCTCTTATAGAAGTATTTAAAGAAGGAAGTACAAATGGTAAAATACAACTATAATAAATAAAAATATGCACAGCCGACTATAATGATGAAATTGTTAGTAAGTAATAACTAATAATAATTA